CCTTATCCCAGGTTCTGCATCTTCCTACGACATCACTTCAATTATAATGATTTTTTTTTAAAAAGATCTTTTTAACAAATTCTGCATCTATATTCCTCACAAGAAAGTCAGCTTCATTTTAAGAGTTTATATATTTTAAAGAAGCAATTGGATATTTTTTCAGATTAATTCATGATTTCATTACTTTACTTGCTAAATCTATGGGAGATTTTTATTATATTCTATTACCACAATGACACAAAATAACATCAACTTACTTTCACTGTACACACGCATACAGTTTTAAAGTACAGAAGAGCTGTCCCTCCTACATTTACATAGTGATGTTAAACATATCTTCTCTGAAAAACAATCCTATATTTTAAAAACCAGAACTTAACATACTGTTTCTACCTGACTGAATGATAGGATCTTTTAAGATTTCTCTAAATAAAATAAAAAAGGTATTCTAGATGAAAACATCAACATGTGTCTGTAGTAAACACCTTAACAACAACAAAAATTTAAAGATATTTAATATATGAAAGTAGATATTTTAAATCTTAAAATTTTTGCTTAAATGCATTTCATAGATGGTTTTGGCTATTATTATTTTAGCAAATGAGTATTAAGCAGTATAGAAAAACAAGTTTCTAATACATAAAATAATAAAAGGTTTAATCTAAAGACAATGGCACCTAATTTACTTATGTGGAAATTCTACAGTAAACCTAAACTTTTAACTAGGTGACTAAATTAAATTATCGGTGATATCTAATCTGTAGAAATTAAATTCTAATAAAAATAATTTTAACATACAAAACTAATATTCTGATTAAACATCCAAGCAAAGAACTAACCACTCCAATCTAATTTGTTTTTAATACTTATGCTGTGAAAATGTTTATCTGTTCAAATAGAATTACAAAACTGTTGACTGATTCTGTTTCTCTCAGTGAGCTAAATATGCCTCATGTACATCCAAAAAGGTAGTAAAAGAGATGCTCAAAATAGCCTTAGTGGTAAACTCAGTTGGGTCACAGGATCCTCCTATTGCGAACAATCACTGAGGAACATGCAGGTCACACGGAGAGAGGGGACGGCCATTTTAAGAAGCAAATAGTAATAAAGAAAAAAAAAAAGTATCCCCTCACTCCCAAATCCCAGGCCCAGATGGCTTCACTGATGAATTCAACCAAACATTTAAAGAAGAATTAATACCAATTCTTCAAAAATTCTTCCAAAAATAGAAGAGGAGAGAACACTTCTCAACTCATTATGTGAATCTAGTATTACCCTCATGTCAAAATCAAAGACATTAAAAGATCAGCATCAATTAGAAGCAAAAATCCTCAGCAAAATGCTAGCAAATCAAATCTGGAAACACATTAAAAAAAGATTATCCACACTGACAAAGTGGGGTTTATTCCAGGAATGCAAAGTTGGTTTAACACCCAAATCGATTAATGTAAAAAACAAACGAATAACCTGTATCCTTTAAAGTATTAGTTAAGTTTGAAACAAGATAAAATCTCTGATTCGTATGAGTCTTAACTGACACCTAACACTTTGTGTTAGCTCGAGGTCATTATTAAAAGTTTTACTATTCATAATGTTATTGAACAATGTTAAAAAACAAACATCTATATTTGCTTCTGTCATTCCCAGGACAAATCTATAGGTGAAATGAGACTGTGCTCTATGACTGACTTGTGATTTGTTATGTCATAAGCTTTTTTTGGATTTGTTTGTCTCTTTAACCCTAACAATAACACGAAAGTAGTTGTTACTATTTTAATTTAATAAAGACAAAGAAAATTAAAAAATCAATTAACATGACACACCATACCGATAAAAGCCATGATCATCTCAAAAAAAGCAAAAAAAAGCATTTAACAATATCCCATACCCCTTTATGATAAAAAAAAGTTTAACAAACTAGGTATGGAAAGAAACTTCCTGTATCAGATAAAGAGTATCTGTCAAAACCTATAGCTACCGTCATATTTAATGGCAAAAGACTAAAAGATTTCCTCCAAGATCAGGAACAAAATGAGGATGTCCAATCTCACCATGTCTATTCAACACTTTTACAGGTGCTAGCCAGGGCAATTAGACAAGAAAAAGGAATAAAAGGCATCCAGACTGGAAAGAAAAAAAGTAAAACTATTTCTATGTACAGGTGACATTTTATATACAGAAAATTCTAAGAAATCCACTAAAAAACTATAAGTAAATGAGTTTAGCAAGGTTGTAGGATTCAAATATTCAAAAATTAATTGTATTTCTATCACTTGCAATAAAGAATCCAAAAATAAAATAATACAATTTTACTGAAAATTGAGTTTTTTAAAAAAGAAATTAATGCATTTAATATAAGCATAAGAAAAAGTATTCCTAAGGAACAAATTTTTTAAAAATACCAAAGTTAAACTCAAAACTATAAAACATCATCAACAAAATAAAAGAAGATCCAAATAAACAGAAAGATATCCCACGTTTACAAATTAGAAGGCTTAACATTAAGATGGCAATACTCCTGAACCTGACCTAGAGATTTGACACAATCCCTAGTAAAATCCTAGCTGGCTCTTTGCAGAAATTGACAAGCTCATCCTAAAATTCATATGGAAATTCAAGGGGTACAGAATAGCCAAAATGATCTTGAAACAGAAGAAGAGAGTAGGAGTACCAGCACTTCCCAGTTTCAACATTTTAGTACAAAGATATCTAGACAACTTTGTGATCAAGACAGTGTAATACTGGCATAAGGCAAAACATATAGATCAATGAAATATAATTGAGAGTCCAGAAATAAACACTCATGTTTACAGCCAATTGATTTTCAGTAAGGATGACCAAAAAAAAAAAAAAAAAAATTCAATGGGGAAACAAGTCTTTTCAACAACTGTCATGGTGATAACCGGATATCCAGATTTCCACATGTAAAAGAATGAAACTAGACCCTTATCTCACACCCTATATAAAAATTACCCCAAAATGAATCAAAGACCTGGGTAAGAACTAAAACTACAAAACCTTCAGATGAAAACATAAGTGTAAATCTTCATGACCTTGGATTAGCAATGGTTTCTTAGGTATGAGACCCAAGAGAAGTGAAAACATATGACCACACAAAAACTTTTACAGACATGTATATAGCAGCATTATTCAGAGCCAAAAATGGAAACGATCCAAATGTCCATCAACTGATGAATGGCTAAAAATAAATATGGTATATCTATACAATGAAAAACTATTTGGCAATAAAAAGGATTGAATTGACACATGATAAAACATAGATCAATCGTGAAAACAATATGCTAAGTGAAAGAAACCAGTCACAAGAGACCACATATTATATGATTCTATTTCTATGAAATGTCCAGAAGAAGCAATTCTATACAGACAGAAAGTAAAAAGTAGTTGCCTAGAGCTGGGTGAGTGGGGGAAGTTTCATCATGGGTGATGAAAATGTTCTACAATTAGACTGTAGTGATGGCTGTACAACTCTGGACAGACTAAAAACCAGTGAATTAGATGATATGTGGATTACATTCCAATAAAGCAGACACCCCCCCTCCAAATAAATAAATAAATAAATAAATAAAAGGAAACAGCAAAAGAAGTGGTCTTAAGAAAGAAAATTTAAGGGAGCAGAGATGTAGAGATTATATCTCAATTTGGAAAACACAATTTGTATAGTACGACGATTGTGCCAAGACATTGACTCTTTCCTTATCTTTTTAAAAAATACATATTATTAAATGGGGAAAGACAAGATCTTATTTTTTTTGTACTTTTCTTCAATTCTTCTTGAAAGTCATCATTTTTTGAGCATGTAGCTAAAATTAGGTAATATATGCTAGATACTATCAGGTGTCCATTATCTATGAAATAAGGCTGATATGAAGAAAGAACACTAGGTTCAAAGTTTAAAGTTTTAGAGCTTTTACCTTTATCCATACGTATATATTTAATGCTTATCCTTCTCTTCTAAAAATGGAGCAATACCTACACTACCTATGATAAAACCAGTGTTATAAAAATATAGTTTCTTAATATATCCCAAATATTGTCCAGATTACCATAAGGTTCAAAAACAAGACAGCAGCTATGAGGTCAATAACTCCAAATCGCCTGGACCTAGAAAGGCAATAAGCTATCCTTCTGGCTTAGCAAAGATGTTGGTCTGGTGCCTTAAAGAGGTAATTAAGAACCATTCACAAGTAACTAGGAATGGTATACAAAAATATGAGAAACAAACTAAAATGCCTAAAACCACAAAATGATTAAAACAATAATATATTTAAAATCATATAAAATGTTAAATCTATACAAAGATGTTATTCTTCAGTTAAATATAAATCACCATGGGATGTTATGTTACTGTTCAAAAAATTAGAACAAGCTTCAAAGTCGTTAAATTTAAGCTCTTTTGCTAGCTATTCTGGCATGCCTAGCAAAAAAGTAATATTGATTATTACTACTTTTATTGGGATAATAATTCAAGAGTGGGACAGGAATAGCATAGTCTAATCTATTCTCAAATCACTTAGAACATTCCCTCACTTTGAAAATTCAAATGTAGAGTTAAATTGATAAAAAAAAACAAAAAAAAAAAAACATGGGGCTTAAGGTTACTAAGGCATTTCCTATAAAACTGACTATTTCCAATACCACTGGTTTTATCATTTAGTAAGAAAGCTAGATTTAAGACTATACTCTAAGTATTTCCAATTGTGTATAAGCATTCATAGTGGTTCCTATGACCCTCAATCAAGAAAAGTATCTACTTCTAGTTAAAATCTAAAAACTCACCATGTTTTATGATGCTTCAAATACAGAGTAGCACCTCTCTTTGAAACTACAGTTTCAACTTGCAAAGTATAGTGGCATTTCCCTTATTCTGACAGTTTGATTAAAATTTACACACAGCTAAAGGGCTCAAGCTGAAGAAGGGCGCTTTCAACATCTAAAACTCTACGCAATCACTTCCCCAACAGCGTAACTGTACTTACATCAATATCCTCTTGGGTAAAAGTTTCTGGATCTTCTCCCATCATGTTGGCTAAATGTCTCTTTCCTATGTTGAATTCCTCAATCTGCTTTTTAATAAAATCCGCTGTATACATTTCACATCTTAAGGCTGCAACATTTTTCTTTGTTGTTACAACTGTGGTATGTCTTAGCCTTAATATCTAGCAGAAAATATAAAGAAAAAGAAAAAAATTAAATTAAACAACAATCTTGTAGGCTACTTTCTCCATTTAGAACAGGATATTCAAACAATTGTCTTTTTTATTATGGTACTTAGTTGGCAGGAGTCTGCAAACAAGGTAAAAGTCCTATTAAGAAAGCTGTTAGAGCCAGAGGAGAGAAAGAGCAATTAGGGGAATCGTTTTATAAACTATATAAATGTCTAACCAATGTATACTTGAAAATAATAAAACAAAATTTTTTTAAAAAGCTGTTAGAAATTGTCCTCTGCTCAAAAGCTTGCTTTTAAAAGCCTATGCTTACAAAGTAGTTTAAACTACTCTCATTTCAAACAATTAAAAGCAAAACTACTTGTAAGTGATATGCCACTTCCTTATCTACTACAAGCATCCACGTTTGATACCGATTGGTCAATGTCAGCTAGTTGTGATATTTGACACACACAGAATAGTGATGTGCCACTCCCTTAAAAAGAGGCAAATGTTAAAAGAAAAAAAAAAAAAAAGAGGCAAACGTTCCTGCAGACAGAAACTAGTAAGCAGAAGACATGGGAGTATAGAGGCATGTACTTGTACTTGGGAACAGCACCTTAGACTGCAGATACCTTTCTGAAGGGTACAAATGCAGCCTATCTTTAAATACCTTAAAATAATAGGGTTGGCTTAGTTTGAGACTTTATTCCATGGTCCTTATTTTAAGCTGACACAATGAAGAAACTGCTTCACTAAATATCGAAATTTCTTATTAATTTGGTTCATTATTCTATGTAGAAATAAGGTCATTCACATCCTTTTAAACAATCAGTAATGATAGGACACCTACTGTTACTCTTTTATGCTATGGCACTAGGAATTTCCCAAGGCATTAATACCAAAGAAACAGAAATCTACATCTACACACTCTGTAATATTTTGTCGATCATCTTTCCAATTCCTATAAATTTCCCTTGTATGTTTCAGTGTTATAGTCAATGCACGATTTAGTTCAGGAAGGTAGACCGTACCCTTCAACATTGTAAAGTGCTCCATTTCCATGCAATACTTTTATCTTGAATTCAATTCTGTTGGATCATAACACTGCAACCCTTTTAAACTTCCATTTGTACTTCCATTTGCACATTCCACTCACTGCCCACATTTTTTATTTTAATTGAGTCATTTTAGGTTCTGTTCCTTTGACTTGATCTGAGTTTTTAAATACATGAGAATATCTCATTTAAATGGGTTTTAATATATTGTCTTATTTTTCATTTTATCTTTTTTGTATCCTTTCTTCCTATTTTCTTTTACTATATGCTCTGTAGCTTTTTAAATTTATCTTTTGATCTGGTAAGCACTATACGGCCTGCTTTTATTTTACTAGTGATTATCTATATGTCTCTGAATAAAATGTTTACATGTATCTCTCCTACTAACTTCAGAAATAAACAATATCCACTGAATTCTCACCTACTTATTCTGTTCTTTTTCAATCACAGCAATTATCCATTATTCTGCTCTTGATATATAGCAGCTTCTTTAGTCTTATTCTTGACCCTTTCTGCGGTCTATGATTTTTAAATCTTTACTCCACATTTTTGTTGTTGTTTGTTTTTCATGTTTTTTTGGCTTTTTTTTTTAGTTTTCTGCAGTGTCGATTCTTGAGCCACTCTGAATTTTTAGCTTCCTATATCACTTCTATCTTCAAAATTCTTTCCTAATCGTTTATTTTACTCATATCTTCTTGTGTGATCCTGTTTCATAAAACTCTCCCTCACCCAAACTTTTTAATAAATGTTCTTGACAATGTGAAGTAGTTATAATTCTAGCATTTTATCGAGTAAATATTCCCTTATATTTTCTTCGTCTCTCTCTTCCACATTGCTCTTTTTCTTCTTTTGTTCCTACATTTTAGCATCATTTCAAGTAAAGAATTTGAGTACTGGCTTGAAGACTCATTTCTTCACTTGATTTAAAATTACCCTGGGTCTGTCTATATTCTCCAGAGTCTATATTCTCCAGAGTTTGTGACATGAGGTGGTAGCTTTCGTACTTTTAACATAAATGAGGCTTAAAAAATGTCTGTAAACTTCTTTATTGTTGTTCATTTAGAAAGGGCTTTTAAAAAAAACATGTCCATAATTTCCTACTTTCCATAAAATCTCTTTAGGATCTTTAGAATCTTTTCGAAGATATCTATACATACTGCTTAAGAATATGATATTCTGGAAATTCATAACATTTATTAAAGTTACAAAGCCATCACATAAGTACCAGACTATTGAATATATTAAATCTTTTGCATTATTCCAGCAATGAATTCATACAAAAATACTTACATTTGAAGGAGTCCATTATTCATTAATACAATCTATTAAGTTAGATGAAGCTGAGTATGAAATGACCAGATCTTTAGCTAAGAACAACAAGAATTCCTAGAGAGAATTTATTTTGCCATTGTTAAGTATAATTACCAAGAAAAATTTTTTAATGGTTCTATTTCCAAATGAAAAGCTATGACAGTGAATTTTCCTGACTTTGTTTTTACAAAATTGTATAGCTACAACTTGACAGATATGTTTTTTTTTAAGATAATCAGTGGGTCAGATGACTATAATTTCAATCAAACAGATTGCCAAAGAAGCAGACACATCCTGACAAAGCAGTGATGCCCCAAATCTGGCCAAATGCCAGGGCTACGCACTACTTTAGTGGTATTACAGCAGTATTAAGGAGTTTCCTTTTTGTTCAACTGGATAAAAATGAACAAAGAAGAATCTGCTGCTAATTTGAATAGAAAAGGTAAAAAAAATACTTTGAGGAATAAAAAAAGGTAAAGACTGAAGTCAGATTAGAGAAAATGTGTAGAAAAAAACAATAGAAAGACTACAAGAGAGTGATTACGGTAACCTTTTTGAAGAGGTTTATACTTTTAAAACTAGCGGTTTCTGGATTCAAGCAAAAGAAACTGACTTTGCTTTACTTAAACAAAAGAGACATTTCTTAGAAGGCTAATAGGAGCCCATAGGGCAAAACTTGAAGCAGGAAGGATTCAAAGCATCTTTGACAGTTAAAAAGCAAGAACTACAACAATCCACGGCAGCACATTCAGTGAAGTCAGAATGTGGCCATTTAGATAAATGGTATTACAATCACCCTTGTCTCTCTGCCTCAGAGCTCAGGGGAGGGAATATGTAATGCAGCTACCATGGGTCAGGTGCTGCAGATTATAGTTCTGTACTGTATCCAGTGGGGAAGAACTCATTCTTCCTGAGACTGAGGTGCCGCTACAAAGGGGAAAAAAATGCCAGGTTAAACAAACGAGGAAATCTACTGTACTACTTAAGCAAAACTCATCATTTATATCCATTCCACAAGCGACTTAAATTAAGAGACTTAACATACTTACCAATCAAATGACGTATGTGGACGTTGTTTGAATCCCGATTTAAGCAAACCAACTATAAAGTTGTTGTTGGGACAACCAGAGAAATTTGAACATTGAATGGGTAATAGATTATATTAAATTATTGTTCATTCTATTAGATGTGCTCATAGTGGCATGGATACTTTGTTTTTTAAAAAATCTTTACATGTTAGAGATGCATATTTAAGTACCTGTAAAATAACAGAAAGTCTGAGAAATACATTAAAAGCCTCTAGAAAAAAAAAGATAGAGACAGATGAAACAAGATTGGCAAAATATTAATAACTGTTGAAGCTGGTTGACATATACACAGGATTCATTATATTTCTCTACTTTTTTATATGCTTGAATATGCTTTATTTCTAATAAAATTCTAAAAAGTAAACTATTTTATAAGTTCAATTAACAAATTTGAGCAACTATGGGCCAGGCTATGTACTAAATTTTAACAGAAATAACTGTAAAGGAAAATCGAGTGGTATAAAAATGAGAATGTTGCTACACTGAGACAAAGAAACATGCGGCATGGTAAAGATGTAATTTTTTCATTTAAGTTACTAATCTTACTTGGCAAAAAGTAATGTAGCAGGTGTTCACACGTACGCAAATGTGCATACACACACATGGAAACCCACATATCCCTATACATAAGAACTCTTCACAAGTTTAATTCAAGAAACAATCAGTGAGCATCTAGGAGACATCTGTAGGCACTGTGCTAGGTGTCACCATGGGGGATATACAGGTTATGTTATTTTTCTCAAGAGTTTTATAAACCAACTATAGGGGAAAGACCTAAACGTATGAGCCACTTAGACAATAACAAAAGAAGTGTGTGCGGGTCTTTCACTGTTGTAGGAAAGTAGACTTCCACCTGGTGGTCACACTTTTGTGCAGTCCCCTCCCCGCGAGTGTAAGCTGGACCTAGCAACCTTCTCCTGTTGAACAGAATACTACTAAAGTGATAGAATGTCATTTCTGAGATTAGGTTACAGAAAGATTCTGTCTTCTCCCTTTTTTACCCTCTCTTGAAAAATCTGATGGAAGCCCTATGTAGTGAGCTGCCCCAGAAGCCCATGTGGCAAGAATGACGGCAACAGCCAGCCCTATTGCCTAGGAGGGCATGTACACTGCTAACACTCACACCGAATGATCTGGAAAGTAGACTTCCACCCTCCAGCCTTGAGATGCCTGTAGACACAGCCAACACCTGAGCTGCCTCCTTATGGGAGACGCTGGGCAGGAGAACCAGTTAAGCTGTGCCTAGAACGGTGATTCACAGACACCGAGATAACAAATATCTGTTATTTAAAGCGGCTAAATTTGAGGATAATTATTATGCAGCAATAAATAACTCATTCATCATCCTAATTACAACAATAAAGCACGGTTTAAAAAACTTCACTTACTTTATTTTATAAGAGAAAAAAAGGTGGGAAAGATGTTAACAGCTATCATTAAGTTCTCTTTAATTTGTAAACTGCTACATAAGGAAAATGCAAATTGTAGTGTCCGGATATTTTCCATAATTAAAGTAATGAGGAGCACACTAAATTTATCCTTAAAAGGACAGGATGAAATATCAAAGAGAATAACTTATCCTACCAAAAGGGCTTTCTTTTCCATTGCTAGTAAACTGAAATTTTTAAAAAATTCAAAAATTATGTGGAGGAAAACATAACTAATTTACAGAGCTGTATAAAGCATTTGATACAAATGCAAGTCAATTTTTAAATTTGTTTTTCAAAGAGTTTTTTAAAGTTTATTAAGACACTACTGTAAACCAACTAGATGCTGTGATAAATATAGAACATTACAACCTTCAGGAGCCCATAAGATGAAATGAGAAGATACTTAAGACAAGGACAGCAATGTTCTTACTAAAACAAACAAACAAACAAACAAACAAAAAACCCCACACATACACACATACACAGATGAGCTCAGTCACCAAATGTTATCGATCACCCTTTTCTGGTAGATAGTCCAATTCAACAACGGCATATTGGCTCAGTAAAATCAGAAAGTTTAAGTACTAAGAAAGTGCTTAGTAGAAAATAAAATTAAAAGGATGTATTATTGATATTTTATAGTAATACTGTTCAAAATAGAAATTGGTCTATTGTTTTTCCATATTACAAAAGTCAGAAATATTATAGAAAGCTAAATTAGCATTCCTACATTAAATTATATTAATTGAGGATTTAAGAATTCATAGGTAACCTTTGTAGTACACAACTATAAACTGCTTATAATAGTTTATATAATAATATAAGACAGATAAATTCAAGTACTTTAGTGCAGCAAAACAGATCATCATCTGGACCCTGCAAAACTTTCCAGTCCCGTCTGTCACCATTTTCTCATCAATTATTATACCTATTATAATTACTACACCCAATTATTTGTTTGTCAACAGAATCCACTGACTCTGTACATCTCTGTCCCTTGTGTACCTATTACATCTTTCTAGAACAGAATATTTCTTTATGCATATAGTTCCTAAGGACTCTACTGTCACCTCCTCTGTGAAGCTGCCCATGGGTCGACACAGTACGACCTGTTTGAAATAAGCATTGCACTTCTGTGCTCTTCTGTGCTCTTCCGTATTTACCTCTGTAACCCTCACAGTACACTGTACGTAGATCCCTGATATTCACGGGCTTATAATCTAAAAAGTTTAGCCATTCATGAGTAAGAGTCCTTCTTCCAATCAAAATTTGGGACACTCAGATATTTGCAATTGTATTGTGGCATTAATATGAAACACATGTGCCACAAGATTGGCATGCAGGAAAAAAATCTGCTAGTAAGGGTCCCAAATGAGCACCCAGGAGTCAGAGCTTAACAAAACTTGTTTCTTTTTCCTTGTTGCATCAGTGTTCTCACTGTGACCCACAGGAATAGCTACTGTTTATACCACCACCTAGTACACACTTACACATATAAACAAAATGCAAAAATATTTACACTGTATGAGACGCACTTTATTACTATTATTCTATTCTTCCTCTCTTCTTTAAGTTGTCTGGAACCTCTGAAGGGATTTCATAACTAATCAGTTATGACCCCCCCCCCAAAAAAAAAACAGGTATAGTGTTTCAGGTACTTAAGAAATGATTAATATTTTTGTTATTTTATGAAACATGGCCCCTAAGAGAAATATAACTATTAATGTTGGAGACGGAAGTGAAGAAATATTAATATTTAAGACAGACAAGCTCTGTGCCAGAAAAAGCTTTATGAATGTCTTTAACCATATATGTGTATGTATATATGGTTATATAGTTATATATATAATCTTTAAAAGTCTAATGGGGTCAGTAAAGTCTTTCAGTTATATCTGAGCTGTACTTCATATGGTAAAACATGTGCTGTGGTGTTATTCAGGAACTGGGGATTCAGCTGTCTCAGGATCATGCCTTGAGAGAACTAAGGTTGGATACTGTTCGCTAATTGTTGGTTTGACTATGATGTGTTTACTTCACAGTGCCTGGCTCAAGTAAAGTGCTCAGAAGTATTTGCCAAAGGGGGATGGGGGAGCTTTCTTTCAAGAGTGGTCAGGGATATGAAAATTAAAGTAACAAGAAGAAAATTTTCACTCATCTTATTGAAAAAATAGTAACAATACCTAATGCACGTAGAAGAGAGGGCACTCTCATATATCAGGGATTAAATGTGAATTGCTACAGCCTTTTGGAAAGCTATAGGGAAATAGCTATTAAAATTTAAGACATACAAATCTTTTACAGCAAAAACCTCACAACTGGAACTCTCTTCAAAAGAAATAAAAGCTAGGGTTTACTGGACATTTTATTAGTGAGAAGAAAATGGAAAGAAAGCGAATGCCCATCAATTATTAAAATAACTTTGATACACTCCCACCACAGAATATTATACAAGTTAGATACACAATAGGTGACTTGGAGAGGTTTCTATTACATATGTAAGTTAGAGAAGCAAAAAATACAATGGGATCCATTTTTTAAAAAGTATGCGTATGCATGTATGTTTGTATATAACTAAAAGAACATAGAGGAAGTTATACAAGGGTATATATATAGGTTCAGGAATTCCAGAGAGGGAAAGTTAGCAACCCCCCTCACTGGTACACACATGAAGTGTCAACGATAAAAATATTCTGTATGCTACAGTCCCTTTTATAGATAATTGTGGGTATACAGAATATAGTCAAAAGAAATACAAGAAAAAATTTAAATTTCCATAATATTTTCCAATAAAAAGTAAAAAGAAAAGTTTGATGGATAAATGAATGGATGTAAGAAAACAGAAACTGCACAGATGGAAGGAAGGGACTTTAAAAAGTCACTGTCTAACCTCACCACTGTGTGACTGTCTCCACTGAGTCTTCCAGGCCACTGCAGGAGTCCAGTTCTCATTCTCCTCCTCCCTTCCGGACCGCGGGGCACGCGGGAAGGAGGAGACCCAACATCATACCTAGGCAAGGACTCTTCTTTCCTTGGCAGCCAAGTCAAGGGAAGGGACGCTCTAGTTCCTCCTGCAGGTAACTTCGCCCCTCAGTGCACTCTGCGAAATCCTGAAACCACCTCCAAAGTGGTTGGTGCAAAACAATACCCACTTCTCTCTCAACCTCAGGCTCTACTAAGTACCTAAGGCCCTAGGAACTCGTCTGAGGGCACCCGAGACACCAAGGGAAGGTGGCGACGCTGGCTCCACATCCTTGCGCTATAAGGATCAGTGCTCCCGCTTCTCCCAGGCCTTACCTGGGATGCGAAACCTGTTTGCAAGTCAGCAGTCGGGGCTTTCCAGAGGCCTTGTCCCGGGGCCAGGCTAACTCTTCCCCTGAGAAGGAGCCGGGAGGAAATTGCAGCACCGGAGGACACACAGGAGGCCGCCATGTTGACTGTAGAGGGTGCAGAGGGCGGGGGCGGGGCCTAGGGACTGCGCAGGCGCCAGTGGGTCGGGTTCGCGAGGTGGTCGAGTAGAAGTTTTCTCAAGATTATTGAAACAGGGGGCGTGTCCTGCGGCTGAAGGTGGCTGATAGGGTGCTTGAGCCCGTGGGGCGAGGCCAATTCCACACCCTGGCCCGCGTTGACAGCGAGCTGTGGAGGGAATGAGTCCTACATCTTGCCCTCTTTCCTCTTCCGCACGTCTTGAATTAAGTCGCTCTCCAAG